AGATGATCAATAAATCAAACTTCTTGTCCTTTCCCGCCTCTTCTCCCTTCTCCTCTCCCTTTCCTTTTTTGGGGGGGCAGGGGAGCGGGGGGTCTTTTCTGTGAAAGGTAGAGAAATGTTTTAAAAATTTCCAACGCTTTTTGGTGTACTTTGTAGGATTTTATTCAGTACAAAAAAACACAATATATTCTCGTTGATGTTTGCTTTTGAGAGATTTAGAAAATCGTTTATTATCCTGTGGTTTGACTTGGATATTTCTTTCCTTGCATTAACAGCCTTTGCCTTTCTTTTAATTTGAATTTTCCTCCCACTCTTTTTAGCCTTTTTGTGAATTTCTTATTGGGCTTACATTGTGCATAGGGGAATGCCTGGATTCTACTCTGTTTATTAAAAACATGGCTATAACCCACAAACCGTTGATTCACGGGCCCCAACCAGCAGTTGGCAAACACCTGACACACACTTTTCTTTCTGGGCTATACAGTGACCGCTGGGCAAAACAGACTTAGGCCTGAGTCCAGTGTCTCTCACTTGCCAAGTTATGATTTTTAACCTGCAGAATCTGCAGCATTTTTTAAAGCAGGAAACAGATTTCTCTTATATAATTTCAAAGTAGGGAATTTTCCAAGTGAAACATATTCTGTGTTAATTGGTGGCACCTGCTGGCAAAGTGCTATCACTGCTCAGAGACTGCTGTGTCTTTATACAAAAGTACAAGAAAAGGCCAGGGTGTTGGAGCTAGCCTACCAGGTCCATGGCTCAACAGAGTGTGCAAGAGATTCTAGGGTTAGTAAATGCTATAAAGAAAAAAAGGAATTCCAGGGGGTAGTTGACTTCCCACCGCAGGTACAATTTTGCTATACTGAATTACCCAGCTGATGAAGACACTGACTTATTTCTATCTTTCTTAACAAGTTTCAGCTCACACTATGGGGATACTCACTGTTTTGTGTGCATGTGGGTAGGCAGGTGGGATGTGTGAGTTGGAACAGAAGGGTAAACTTCCCCAGGTTCCAGTTGGTTTTAAACAGTTCGGTTTAAGAATTGTACTTCACATCTGGGCTACCCATAATGCATTTCTTCTTTATTGCTGTTGCCAGTCTAGGGTAGCAATGTTAATGAAGACACACAGGTGAAAAAGAAAGCTGTTTCATATCTGCAAAATGGGGAGGGGAAGGAAAGCTGTGTTTGTTAAGCTGTTCATCATTTGCAAAGACTACACATATTTTACGGTTTTGTTTTGGTTTTTTTTAGTGGTACTTGCTAGGCAGGTACTTATCACTTGAGTCATTCTTGTTTTGGGTTGGTATTTTTGAGATAGGGTCTCCCACGAATTATTTCCCTGAGGCTAGCTTCAAACCTCCTGATCTCTGCCTCCTGAGTTATGTAGGATTACAGAAGTGAGCCACCAGTACCTGGCTTCAAATGTGAATTTAATGGTAAGAAAGACCTACTCTGGACTTCAGAAACATAGCTATGTGCTCCATGACTTGTTTGACCGTGGTGTGATCAGGGTGTATGTGAAGAATATCAGATGTTCACAGGGACCAAATAAAGAAGACCAAGGAGAGGTAAGAGCAGGCCTTAGACCAGTGTGTTTTCCCAAGGGGCAAATTTAGGAGCTCATGCCCTGCAGCAGTGGCTTTCAAGTGAACAGGATGGTCTTGTCCCCCTTCCCTTGGACAGTCGGTAATCTGGAGACAACTTCAATAGCCACATTGCTGGTGCAACAAGTGTAGGTGAAGGTCAGGGGTGTGCTAGCACCCTGTAATGCACATGACAACCCCTGCAACAAGGAATTGTCCCCAAATGTCAGTGTTTCCAAAGTTGACCCGCCTTAGAGACTAGCTGCTGCTTCCTGGATGGTACCTTCCGCGGTGGTAGGTTCAAAATAGGAGGCTCTGAATTCTATGTATTCGTGTGTGATGCTTCTTGGTAATGTAGGAGGCAAGAGATGATGAGTAGTGAGCAGGACAGGAAGTGAGTAAGTCAGGTGGGCATTTCAAACTTCCCTTTCCCAGAAGTGTTGGAGATTTCAGAACGTTGACCTCATGTAGTAGTGGATGTGGAAACCACCTTCCTTGTCTCTTGTGAGGATCATTGTTTTCTTCTTACATCACCCTACCTGTGCCTTTTTCGTCTATTGCCTTTTTTGTGATACTGGCGTTTGAACATAGGGCCTTGTGCTTGCTATCAGGCACTGTACCACTTGAGCTGCACCTTCAACCCTTTTTGCTTTTGTTATTTCTCAGATAGGGTCTCACTTTTTGCCCAAGGCCAGCCTCTGACCACAATCCTCCTACCCATATCTCCTAGCTATGATTTTGTCTTTAAGGAATAAAGCTCACAGTGATTAAATGTATATACATCTATGGCTCCCCTAAGAGAATTTTCCATTCTTAACATCACCCCTTATCCCCACAGCCCCACAAAGCAGGCTGAGAAAGACGATGGGGAGTCACGAGAGCAGACTCTTACTTCCTTGTCTCCATAGGTGTATGGTGGAATGGGAGGAAGGAGTAGCTGCTCTGGCTGTTGCACCAGTCCAGGGTTTTGCCATACCTGCTGAGTTACTGTTACTAGATAGACATTACTGTGTCTCTAATGTAATGTGGGGAAGCAGGAGTAGACTAACTTAGCCTTCAGTATCTTAATGGAGTACAGTGAAACCTTGAGAGGGAGGAGGAAGGAAGGGGAGGGAACCTACATATGTAGCCTGCAATAGTCAAACTTGGATGGGGCCCATTCTGAATGCCTTTGTGTCACAGGGAGTACTCTTTGATCGGTGGATCCAAGCAACACTTTCCTTTAGCATTTTCTCCTCAAGCCTTTAGGAGAGTAGTTAAACGCGCTAGGATGGGGCTGCTCACACCCTCTCAGGGTTTTGTTAAACCTCATTTCTTTCTCCTCTTCCGTCAACCCTTCAGAGAACAGTTGCTGTTTCCTTCCCAGCTGTATGAGTAAACACTGTTTCACTGCTGTGGAACAAATGGAAAGAAGTAAATTTTCTCATGCAGACAGCTATTTCTGGTGTAGTCTATAGGAACAGCTGACGTTGTGTTTCTTCCTTGAGTGAAGAAAGGTCACTTAGGTCAGAATATCTCTGGAGGATTCAGGCTCCTATTTTCTAAAGTTTTTAGTTTACAGTACATATACAGACATTTGCTCTGGGGTGCCTGGAGACCTGGCTGGCAAGGCCTTGGTGCCTCTCTGCCTTCCACTTAGTTCCCCAATCGTATAGGTGCCTATCTTCTTATGTTTCCCACCGTGTGTTCTTATCTTTGCTACTCTCTTGGATAGTGTGACATTCAAGATGGCTTCGTAACTACTAGACTCAGGGTGGGGTACTGAGTCACCGTACCTATGTTCACTCTTCTAAAGAAATCTGCTGTTTTTATTAATCCCTAGGTCCCTTCAGGAAATCAGTAAAAGGAAAATTACATGGAGATACTAAGAAAAAAGTGCTTCCTTCCTGTCTCCATCCCCTTCCTACTCAGCCCTGATTTGGACACTTGGACACTCTGCCTTCCTCTCGACTCTTTAGTTCAGGGGTGGCTTGTGCATACAGAGTCTCTCCTGCCTCTGCCTGTTGCAGACCTAGGGCACCGGGACTTAGGAGATTTTATTGAGGAAGCCAAAGCCCATGGGTTTTCCCTAGGCATACATTCAGATAAAGTCTCTCTGGAGTTAGGAAGTTCAAGGAGATAACCTGGGGCAGGGAAGCAGAGGGGCAGGGAATACTTGTGTGTCCCTAAGCTCCTTGGTCTCATTGCAGCTCTGTGTTTGTATCTGCACCTCCAGTGAATTAACTTCATGAAATGTGCCCCCCAGCCCCCCACACACCCATTGAGTGGATGACCAAATCAGGATGTCGAGTTCTTGCTTTGGTTTCAAAACCTATGGCTTTTCCACTCCACCAGGCAGAGCAACTAGTGCTCCATGATGACTCTTCTGCCATTACCCGCACCGGGTTTTCATATGGAGAGTGTGGAAGTACTGTATGGATCGAATGCCAGCATTTTAGAACGTGAATAAGATAAAGGAGAAATAGGGGAGATTTGAGAGAGAGGCTTACTCTCTCAAGTCAGTAGACGGTATTGTAAACGTTGGTGATGTCGGAAGATCTAGAGTGTCCTTTTTGAACACTGCTATGGGACAGATGTTGTAGCTGAACTTTTGAGCCCCATTCTTAGAATTTTAGGTTTGGGAAGGAATCTTAGAGAGACTGCTACCCATAAACGAGCTGTTACTTCTTTCAGAGTGCAGCTCCCCCACTTCCCCTTCTCATTAAGTTTCCATTTAGCCATTAGGTAGGAGCTTCAAAAGGGAAAATCCAATCATGTATAATCTCCAGTTAATGGGCATCTATTGAGCGACTAGGTCACGAGAAAGAATAATTACACAGTACCTCTTTGTGCAGTAAACACAAAAATCAAAAGATAATGCATTCCCAAGGCAAGCCAGATGACTAGTAGCTAACAGCATCCTCCTCTTCGGGGGAAAAAGATTGGGGCACCCACCATGCTTGCTAGGGGACATTGAAAAGCCATCCCCATTCCTGGAAAAAAGGCGGAGACGTACTTCCAGGGCTTTGTCACTTCTAATTGCTGGTCTCTGCCATGAAATTACCGAATAGCAGATGCCATAGTAAATGTTTTGTATAATTGTTGGGTACTTTGTGGATCTCTGTTTTTCTTGTCACAAGTTTAAAAGTAACAGTGATGATTGAGGTAGAGCTCCAGCCCTGTTCCCACAGTAAAGCCTGGGCTCTAAGCCTGCCCAACCTGTGTTCATTCACAAGTGGGCTGTGTGATTACCTTCGTCCAGCTACTATTGAGTTACAAAAAGTCGAGCATAGCTCCTTCCCTCAAGTGGCACGTGTTAGCCACAAGCCAAAGAGTTGTTGGGTTTGCGTTGATACATTTTTCAGAATTGTGTCTTGTAGTTATTTAGGATTTCAAAATTCAGCATAATTCAAAAAACCTGTTTTTCCTCCTTAGAACACTTCAGTTATGGAAGATCAAAATGAAGATGAGTCCCCAAAGAAAAATACTCTTTGGCAGGTAGGAATGATAAGATAGCTGCTGACTACTGAGATGAGCTGCTCGCCCAGTCCATGTTCTCATGAAACCAAGAGCCCAGCCTGTGTTCTTTGGTACAGTTTTGCTAGTTTCAGATTCCACCCTACTTTGTCGTCTTTTCCTTAGGGAAGTGGCATTATGAATAGTAAAGAGTTTTGGAGTTTTCACAAAGATTGAGAAGTGACCAATGATGGACAGTGGTGGTGCTCTTTGTTACTGTGGCATGGTGACACTTGTGTGCATTTGTCTCTCTTCTTTGCTCCCACCTTACCCTTCTCTCCCACTTCCTGTTGGTTTTCCTTTTCCTTTTTCTTTTCGTCTCGCTTCTCTTGGCTTTCTCTATTTAGTTTACCAGTTGCCCTCCCAATCCCCCAGGGTTTTTCGGGGGGTGGTTGGGGGTGCATGTAAGGTTTTCATGGTTTGGTTTTTCTTCAGCCATTAAGGTGTACGTCATTTTCCCCTTTGTGAGGATATGAGTACAGGCTAACCAAATCTCAATCTGAAGAGGATAATACAAAAAAATTGTCTGGATTTATTTGATTTAAATCTAAAGAGAATATCTGAAAGAAGGAGTGTCCAACAAACGTAAGTGGAAGTGAAACAGAGCAAAACAATGCTGAAAGATTTTGTTGGGCTGAGCAGGTAGCTGGAGAATAGACTGTGAGCAGTGTGCTATCTTGTAGTACACTCATGCACTTCTGTTTTGAACCTGTGTGCAAACTGAATTTTGTGCTCTTTCACATTTACTGTGTTGCAGTAGGACTCTCTCAGATTGCAGTTTTCATAGCTTTCAGGTTTTCATTCATCTGCCTGTCCTCCAGTCAGTTTGTTAATGTCACACACACTCTGGAGAGATGATTGGGAACCCTTTAATAACCCGTTGCTTACAAAATGAGGTTACAGGCATGAAAGTGCGTTGTGAGTAGTAAAGCAGTGCGCAGACGCAAGTTAGCACCATCACTGTATTTAGCCTGTTACAAAGTGATTTCTGACATTTGCATACTGATGCAGAAGTGATAGAGGAGGAAGAAAGCCTCTGTAGCTGGGTCTTGTGTTGCTCCCTTTCTCACAAATTACTGTGAACACAGAGATGCAAAAAATTCTGGATCTCACCTTTTCTTCCCTAATACTCAGTCTTACTTTCCAAGCCTAATGTTTTATGGCTTCATTGTAGCTCTTCTCACCTCTACATTGTAGATGTGTTATGATTTACTTTAACAGTTGCTCATAATTAGGCAGTTACTTTAACTTTTTCTGTTATAACATGGTGCATGTTATGATTAAAAAGTAGCACAAATGCCCCTTTTTATGTCTGTCAGTATTTGTCACAGCCAAAAATGTTTCCTTCCTTCCTTCCTTTCTTCCTACCTTCCTTCCTCCTTCCTCCTTCCCTCCCTCCCTCCCTATCCTTCTCTCTCCCTCCCTTTTGGTCATTTTTATATTTACTTACATGTGCATACATTGTTTGAGCCACCTCCGTACTACTCTCCCCGCCACCCAAAAAATGTTTCATCTCTGTTTTGAACTCTCATTTTTGGGTTGGATTGGAATCTTTTAGAATCAAGAATTAAAAGTCCCTGTTCAATGCTGCCCCCTTGTGGTACTTGGTGCCACTGGTCTCTCTCATCCAAGTTATAGGGGAAAAAATCCTGGACAAAGGCATGGTAAGATAAATTAGGTGGGAGATAAATGCCTTCCGCTGTTGCCTCTAAATATAGACGTAAGAACTTACTTCATACACAAAGCCTAGGAGATTTTTATCAAGGAAGGTTGAAGCTTCATTTGGATATATTCTTTCCAGGATAGGTTCATCCCTACTTCAGTAAGGGAACATACAGCTAACAAAAAAAAATCTCCGTTCCTTTTATGTAAGACTTTGAGATGCGTTCCTATTTCAACTCATCAGTTCTCAGAATTCTCTTGTGTCATTCCTTCTGTTATTATCCACGAAGACGCCATTCGAGGAGTGATGGGCAGATGTCTTGCAAGTATTTGACAAAAGCTTGAGATTGTCTTGTGTTCAAACAGGGAAGTTACTGAGCCTTGTTGTATTGGTAGTCATCGTGGCTTGAGCCTAGGGTTTAGATGATCGTTGATGCCATTGTTTTTTTTTTTAAAGGAGGGTTGTAAGGATTGAACTCTCTCGGTAAGCTATATCCCCAGGGGTTCCTACTGGAGGGTTGAACTCAGGGCCTTGTGTTTGCTAGGTAGGTGCTGTACCACTTGAGCCAATTTGCCACCCCTTTTTGCACTGGTTCTTTTTGAGGTAGGGCCTTGCTTTCTGCCTAATCTGGCCTGGATCTTTATCCTCCTATTTGGGCTCCTCCACGTAGCTGGGATGACAGGTCCAGTCTTTGGTCAAGATGAGATTTTTGCTTCTTGAGTAGCTAGAATTACAAGCTTGAGTCACCAAAGCATGGCTATAGTTTCATTTTTTAAAAAAATATGCTGATGTTATGCAAGGACATGTAGGTGACGCATTGCAGTGTAGGAGTGGATTGGTTATCCTTAAATGTCTTATGTAAAAGGATGACTTTGTGGATATTTGGTTGCCCTCGGGTCACTTTCTGAGAAGGTAAGCAAAAGAAGGGAAAGTCACAACTGTTTGCGCAGCAATGTGTTCTGTAGCCCTCAGAAATTGTATGGAGGGCACTGCAGCTGTAGGGTAAAAAGAAGTTTTTTAGATTGAACTGTGTTGGGGTTTCTCTGCTCGTCTTCTGTGTGGTATGTGGGTCTTGACATGTAGTTTGGACCAGGCAGTCTTGGCATCCCCTGGGAACTTGTTAGCAGTACAGATTCTCAGTTCTACTCCAGACAAGTAGAATCAGAACCCTGGGGGTGTCGCCCAGCAATCTGTGAGATAACAGCCCTTGTTGCTCTGATGGAAGTACAAACGTGAGAACCATTATCATCACTGTGTACAGTATACCCTACCCACAGTTTTAATTACTTGTGGTCAACTGTGGTCTGAAAATAGAAAATGGAAAACTTCAGAGACACACAGAGAACATCCATGTAACTATTATGATTGTTCCATTATTCGTTATTGTTGACCTCTTACTATTCCTGATTTGTAAGCTAAACTTTATCAAAGGTGTGCATGTGTTGGAAAGCAGCATCATATATGTAGGGTTTTAGGCATGCACTGGGGGTCTGTAGTACCTAGAATTAACTTGTAACTCTGAGGAAGTGCAGCAAACTGTTGAGAGTCAATCCGTTGCCACTTTGTCAGGTCGGACAGTCCCTCTAAGATGACCATGTCTAAAACAAGCTATCTAATACTATCATTTTGGAGTAAACATTGGAGGATGCTGATCTAAGGTAACATTCAGCTTTAGAAATAGCTGATACTTGTTTACTGTTGTGACTGATTTGAATTCATTTTAAATTACTTATTAAATGAATTAAGAAAGAAATGAGTTTGGCTTTAGGGTAAAACTGGTATTTAATTTTAAGATTAAATGCTGAAGGTAAAAAAATGTTTCTAATGAATTATCAATTAGATATCTTTTGTCAGACCAATTATTTATTATTTTTTACAATAGATCAGCAATGGCACATCATCTGTGATTGTCTCCAGAAAGAGACCATCAGAAGGAAACTATCAAAAAGAAAAAGACTTGTGTATTAAGTATTTTGACCAGTGGTCTGAATCAGATCAAGTGGAGTTTGTGGAACATCTTATTTCACGGATGTGTCACTATCAGCATGGACATATCAACTCTTACCTGAAGCCCATGTTGCAGCGGGACTTCATTACCGCGTTACCAGGTAAGTGCTCTTGTCCTCCAGCCAGGAGCCTGGTGCAGTGCCTGCATGTTTGTGAGACGAGGGAGTGAGTGAGTGCTGTGTGATTCTTTGGGATGTTCACAGTAACTTTTCCTCAAGTGCCACATATTAAAAATTCAGTGAATATATTTCTAGGCAGTTTCTGTGATCGTTAGTGTTGATCATTCATCATTGTTGTTGCTTCATTTGGTTTGTTTAATGAGTTGCTTTTAAAAAATGTATTTTTAAATTTTGATATAATCTGTACTTTGTCTTTATATATAACTAAAACTTCTGGAACTGTTTTTTTCCTCCAGTTTGCATGCTTGGTAGGCCAAAGTTTACGGTGTTCATTTGTATCTGAAGTGATATTTAGGGAACAACAAAGAAACTAAGAAAAAGGAGTAGCATGACTTTATGACACACATACGGAAGCAGACACATGTGTGCATGCACACACACCACACACACTTCTGGTTAAATTCATTTTGATTTTTAGAATAGATTTTTGTTTTTAGTGCAGTTTTAGATGCAAAGCAAAATTAATTGAAAAGTACAGAGACTTCCTGTACTGCTGTCTCCCTCTCTCACTTCCCAAGCACAGCCTGCCCCACTTTCCCATCCTGCAACAGAGCCGTCCATCTGTTTTAGTTCATGAACCTCCACTGACCCATCACCACCTCCCAGGTCCACAGTTTCCACATTGTATAAGCTTAGACAAAGTGGTAGCAATGTGTACCTTCCAGTATAGTATCATACACAATAGTCAAATTCTTCTTTGATTTTTTTTTTTCTTTTGTGGCACTGGGGCTTGAACTCAGGGACTATACCTTGAGCCACTCCACCAGCCTTTTTTGTGATGTGTTGTTCGAGATAGGGTCTCATGCGCTATTTGCCCAGGCTGGCTTCGAACCACAATCCTCCTGATCTGTGCCTCCTGAGTAGGTGGGATTACAGGTGTGAGGCACCGGCACCCGACTCTTTGTGATTTTTGATCACTCGCTCATTTCTGTCTCCTTTTTAAAATTAGCATTTTAAATTGTCCAGGTGAGATGTAGAGATTTCATTCCTGTGGAGAATGCTGGCCAGAGCACTTTCCTCTGATCTGGTCAGTGTAGGGAACTGATTTTGTCTGCCAGGCCAGGGTAGGCCTAGAAACAGCCCACACAAAACAGTGCCATTACTTCCTCACCCTACCTGTGACTTACAGAGGACAGCAGGACACCACGTACTCAAGTTTTTCCGTGGCACACAGGACCTGGGTTCAGGGCTCAGGCCTGAAACCTGGGCTGCAGATTGATAGGCCAGCTTCTGCTGTTTAACCCTCTTTTTTTAAAAACTGGTGCTATGCGTGCTAGGCAATTGCTCTACCATTTGAGCCACATCTCCAGTCCCAATTTCTAAGCCTTCTTCCAAAATTTGTACTTTTTCTTCGTTCTGTGAGAGTACATAGATATTTGAGAGCTTAGGAAGTTTTGATCCTGCTGTTCCTTTTATGCTAAAATGTAGCATGACTTACCCATGTCTTCCACTGGTACCTCTGGAAAAGTGGAGTAAACCCTTTCTGTCTAGAGTCATAGTGTTGAATTGCTGAACACAATCTTAGCCATCACTTACTCCTGTTTCTCGTGTAGATTGGGAAGCTGAAGATCAGAGAAATTGGGTGAAATGCTCTGATCATGTATCTTGGCTATTGTGTGATGTAGGTGGTGTAGGCATTGTGTCAAAAATTAGTGCAAGGACTAAAATCACTTATAGTCAAGGTTACTCTGGAAAATTCTTTAAACTGGCTCTAAATATTAAGCACGTGGATTACGTCTAATTCACTACAATTCCTTTTAATCAGGTCCAGAGAAAGGGGAGAGGAGAACAATAGGTGGATGGCGGTGAGTTGAGTGTGCAAGTTCCTCTGATTTGCAGCACCTGAGCTCCAGGCCTTGTGGAGTCAGGCTGCACGAAAAGACAAAGTTTCAGTTGTTGACGGTGCTGGGCCTCACAAGTGTGCTTTTAAGGACATGAGGTCATGCCCTGTTTTCTCAAGCTGTTCTGCTTATTGTTTGTTTCCTGCTGTTTTGGTTTTATTTCTTCCCTTCTCAAATGGTTTCATGTGCCAGCAATTCCCCTTCCATTTACAGAATCGCCACGAGGTGGTGCTGTTGCATAGTTCCAAGCAGCCCCTTGGGGAAGAGGCTCGCAGAGGAACGTGTGTTATGTGTATAAATATGGTTAGCACGACTGCACATGGTTCACTTCTCATTATGGAGAGTTTTAAGGCATTGTCTGCGTCCCTGTTAAAGTGGGATTTTGCGGTGTTGAAAGTTACCTGAAATTAGTGGGCCTTGGGCTGGGACATGAGAACATTTGTTAGAATGCTGCTTATTTTAACAGGATTTGATCTGAACATAGACAGGTATGTCAGTCCATTTCATACATATGAATCTGGTGGTAGGGGACAAGCCGACCGAGTTGATTGCGTCCATTGTGTCACAGATTCTGCGTAAACCTGGCATCAATTTCCGAACTCAGACCCTGCCTCAGCAGCACTGGAGCCAGCCATGCCCGCATGTCTGTGCTTGCTTAGATTTAGTCACATGTGCCGCAGTTTCTAAGCCTAATGCTGTTGGTGCTTAGCTTTCTGTAGGTGGTCGTGAGTTTCAGTTTTGACTCTGTAAAAATTGACAGTTTCGTCTGATTGTGAGGACTATTCTGTAAAGTTATCTACACTTTAATGCCCTCTGTGAGTACCATACCTGTCAGTATAGGAAAAATGGAAATGTGGTCTCCAGCTCTTTTGGGTCAGTGGAAAAAGTGATAATTGTGCTACGCTTTTCTAAAAATCACAGTAAATGTTTAGTCTGCGATGTCAATTTCTGCAGGCTAAGTTTGTGGTTTGTGAGAACTGTTGTTGAAGAGAAATTTTAAACCATTTAAAACAGAGGCAGACTGTTCTTCAGAAAGGACGATAAGCTCGTGGCTGGCTTGGTGAGGTGTCTAAGCAATTAAGAGTTTTGAAGTACTTGGCTTTCTGGCCATGGGTTACTTATTTGTCTTACCTCAAATAAGGATGGAAAACCATGGTGGGCTGTAAGTGTGTCAGAGACTTGGTCAAAGGTCTCGGGAAGAACCACAGCATAGCTTCAGCTTCAGGCTGGGTGCCTGGCCAGTGACCCAGAGTGACCCCTGGGCTTTACTTCCTGGCCCTGGCAGGAAGTGAGTGATGCCTCCTCACTTTTGGAGCCTGTTTCTCATCTTTATAGGAATAATAATGCTTGGTGTATACCTCATATCACGTGAGTACTTTGAGGATGTCCACTTAAAACAATACAGACAACACTCCAGAGAAGTTGTAATTCCTTACCACTCCATTCTGAATTGATCCATCGAGGTGTGTGTGCTGCTTCACTATTTAGCTACCTTGGTTTTTTGTGGGAGAAGACGTTTGACTTTATGGACTAGGCATGGGTCAAGTGGAAGAGCAGCTGCCTAGCAAGCACAAGGCTTGCTTGGCTTTGTGACTTGAGCTCCTTTTGAGTTCATTTCTGTCTGAATCCCAAGTGGAAGGTGTCCATTGACAGACGATTGCTGTGTGCAGTGTGTTTTTGTTTTTTTTTTTTGAAAACGTATATAGATTTTACAACTAGCTCTGTGAACTAGTTGTAACAACTAGGGAAAGGGAGGGGCAGCAGAAGTGATCGGAAAAGGAAGTTTCTTAGCAGCTGCCCTTTGAAATGCATTTCTAAAATAGTAAGTTTCTGTAGTTGTATAATCTAAGCAGCTGTATTAAAACTGGCTCTGATCAAGGGCATTGACCTCACACATTTGAACTTAATTTGATCAGTGTTATTTACATACTGAGCTTTGAGATTTGTGCCTTGTAATTGTTTTTAATTTATCATTGAAACATTTCCAGACATTTATGTGGTGCTGTTGTCAGCACCAGCACTACCTCTTCAACACCGTACAGTTGAGGCTGTGGTATGTGTGTCCTCCTGTTGCTGTGGGAGAGGGGGGAGTTTCAGCACGATAGAATAATGAGAGCCAGGTGTAGGTACTTAGGAAAAATGTTTAATTTTAACACCTCACAGCACTTTTTTAGCTCAGGCAAATAGATCACCTTACTCAGTAACCTCTTTGTCTTCAAACCAGATACTTCCAAGAAATGCAAGGCAGAGGGAGTATGAGGGGTAGCGGGCTACTCTGAGTGCTCAAAATAGTGTGCAATTCTTGTTCTTCTCAAAGCATTTGGGAAGATAGGAGACTTGGGCCATGATAATAGAGGACTTAGCTTTGTGCTAAAACGATATGCAGTATTTCTCTTCAGAAAATGAAGAGTGCTGCTTCGGCTCCTTGACCATTGACATCAGCTGAGGGAACTTGGGGAGAGGAAGGAGAACAAAGGATGACCTTCATTGAGTACCTGCTGAGTGTACCTGGTTCTTTTTGTCTGTTGTCCTCTTAGCCTTCCCAGCAAGGTTGGAGAATTCTTCCCTGTAGAAGAAGAATATTGAGTGTATCTGTCTTGGAGGGTGTTGTACAGAGAACAAGATAACCCATTTGAAGTGTTTAGTATCATTCCTGTGTTACAGAAGGCTGAGAGCCAGAAAGGAAAATGGATTTGCTTAAAATCACTCAGGTGGTAGAAGACAAAACCAAGAGTCAAGCCAGGTTATCTGACTTGACAGCTAGCATGTTTTCCACAAGACCTAAAAAGCTGCCTACTAGAAGGAGGAAGCAAATTTAAACCAAAAGAAACAAATCTATCCTCACAGAAATTGTTTATTTGGGCTGATAGCATTTCAAAGAAGAAGAAATGTGTTTACTTATGAAAGATCTTATTGATGACTTAGTTGTGAGCAATTGGGTATGGAGAGAGCCCAAAAAGGACTAAAAGGGATGTCATTACTGTAAGCCAGTACTTCCCAAGAGTACTTCCCAGATATTCTGCTTCGTAGACAGGAGGGCTGGGAGTTTCTTTTGAACATCAACAACCCCAAATGACTGAACCACAAAGACTTTGCTGTCACATCTCAGACTGACCTTCCAGGCACATGGGAGGTTCACACACAGGTTTCGGGACCTTGCAGCCACTGAGACCTGGAAAGGCAACTATGTAATACATTCTTGTCTTGCCGTTTGTTTCATCTCTTAGAGAGCAGAGGGTTCAAGAGGGGAGTTGATGAGGGGTGTGTTTGTAACCAGTTAAGAAGCAGCAGTGGAATGGAAGTAATGAAGTATGTAAACTGACTGTGTCCTAATACCGAATGTTGAAACTAAAGAGGGACAGAGTCAGTTAAGTACCCAGAACGATAGTCAGGATAAATACAGACTTAGCCTAGGATGGGAGGGATTATGAACTTTGCAACTGACATATAATGTTTAGCCATAGTGGGAGAGAGGCACATATGATTACCCAGCACAGAAGGTGAAAGAAAGGGACACATGGTCATGGAGGTTCACAGGAACGTGGTGAACCTTTGAGCATGGCATCAAGAAGACAGATCCCCTGAAAAGCTGCCCCATATGTTTTAAGTCATGCAGAAGTGAAAACAAAACCTTCAGCTGTTTGGAGAAAAGTCAGAAAGACTGGCGGGATAGTGCTCAGAGTAGATGGTACAGTGGCAGAGACAGAAAGTATTGTCACGCTCACATAATTTTTTTTCTTTTCCCTACTAAGAAGAATGGCCTTAAAGAAGTGAAAGAAAAGTTGTAATCAAGAAAGACATGGAATATATTTAGGAACCCTGTTGTTTACCTGTGGCTGCGATTCTCAGAATCATGGAGCACTGAAGTGATTGAAAGTCAGTGTAGAGTTCCTAGGCGCAGGGTGCCTGGACAGCTGTCTAGCTGCCTGGAGTCCTGCAGTGCCCAGACATGATGGTGTGAAGAGTTGGAGAAGTTGTATTTGCAAGGTGTTGGCTCTGAAACTTGACATTACTTTTCAGCACTGTTTAGCTTCAAGTGTTATCAGCATCTGAGAACATCATGTAGAGTGCATAAACCTACAAGGATGTGTGTATACAGAAAGTTAAAACCTGTTAACTCTTGGAGATGGGATTAGGAATTTAAATTATTTTGCTTATATATAGTTTGTCATCTTTCTGGAATGAACCCAAAGTAGGTATGTTTAAAAAAAAGGGACAAAAGCAGTTGGTGCCAACACGTAAGTAAGATTGCAAAGATTTTAAATCCCAGCAGGAAAACACAGGAACAGTGCTACGCCCACCTCATTTCAGCCTAGCAGATGTCAAAATGGCAGTGTCTTCATGACACAGTTTCCACAGGCGGCCCTGAGGACTGAATAGAGCAAGCTGGGCTGGACAGTGGCCTACCCAGATGACTATGGAAGTGGTGGCTCAGTGTTGGTACCTGTGAGGATGCATGAAAGCATCAGTGATAGCCGGGACGAAAATAGCCAGTACCATGGGTGCTGTCCTTGGTTCTGACCCATTTAACATGGTATCCTCTTGATGGGATAACGCCTTGCTACATTTGCCTGCTGTGTGGATGGAGCTGTCTCTGAAGGTGACTTACACTAAAGATGCACCCTTCCACTAGTGGTGCAAGTATTGGAGGAATTGTTTTAGTACATGTCTGCAGGGAGAGGAACGAGGTTTTATTTAGACTCGCTGCCACACCTCTGCTGTGATACTGCCATTAGTGAAGGTATTCAGTTGTTGGCAGTGTGACTGTGAGATAATGAGGAACATCAGGAAGGAGAATGTGCCAGTGTCGGTCTTCATTGTCAGACCACAGCTTGATACTGGATCGAGAGCAGGGTAGGAGCGTTATAGGGTATGGTAGTCAACAGTGCGACTGTGCCGTTCTGAGGCTTAAAGAAGACCTTGGTTTGTAAAGCGTTTCTTATTATTTTGTTTTGTTTATTTTAGTTTGCTTTTTTTGAGACATGTCTTGCGAAGTTGCCCAGTCTGGCCACAAACTTTCAAAGCTCCTGCCTCCCAAGTGCTTGAGTTACAGGCGTGCACCACTATATCTGGCTTATAAAGCATTTCTTATGCGTCATTTCATTTCAGTATTTTCACAGTAAGGCAGAGATTATTGCCCCATTTTACACAGATGAAGAGGCTCTGGAAGTGTGATTTATCTATTCCCTGGTCTTGAACACTGAGCTCACTGCTTCCATACTGCTCCTGTTTATTTTGAAAGAGAAGGAGATGAAAGGTTGACAAAAACACATCCAAGCATACTTGACTTTAACTCTTGATATATGGTTTGACCTTTTCTTCTTCACTCTTTTTAACTCCCAGGAACTCACAGAGGGCTGTGGTTGTTGTCAGAGACAGTGAATAGGCAGCAAGCGTAAATTTTGAAGCAAGAAATTTGAGTTTGAGTCCTGCTTCACCACTCAGCAAAGTCTTGAGTGCTTTGCCTCTCTGCCTTATCTGTAAAATTTGCCTGTTAAGGGTTTTTATAAGAAAATAAAAGTAAGTCTTTTATCATAATAACTGACAAGTACAGAACTGTCCAGGTCAGTTTTTACACAGAGAACAGTCACCATAGTTGTTTAATAACAAAAGTCAGAACCAAAGTGATCTGGATATGTTCATGTACTTATGTACTTATGCACTTCCACACCTGCACGTCTTTTTATGTTACCCAAGTATTTTACCTGGCTCAGAATTTCTTTATTTCCTTCTTCAAGGAAATGATAGCTGGTACATTCTCATCTCCCTGCCTGTTCCTTTCCTTTTTCTGTTTTGTAGAGCAAGGCTTAGATCACATAGCAGAAAACATTCTTTCGTACCTGGATGCCAGGTCTCTGTGTGCAGCAGAGCTGGTGTGTAAGGAGTGGCAGCGAGTGATCTCAGAAGGGATGCTTTGGAAGAAGCTGATTGAGCGCATGGTGCGCACTGACCCTCTGTGGAAGGGGCTTTCAGAAAGAAGAGGGTGGTAAGTACTCATGTGGTTGTCCTTAAAAAGCATTCTTTGTGACAGCCTGCTTACACATCCAAAGCAATATGCTTGCATGTGTGTTGGCCTGTAAACGGGGGGGGGGGGAGGAAGGAGTGGTCAAGAGTTGGAGAAATGTTAAAGCTTTTAGAATTTCCCTCTGACATGTGTATTTCCTTTATATTTATCACTGTTAGAAGGTTTTCTGTTGTTTGGATAGGTGATGCGGCTCTTTAAAGCTGTGTATTTACACTTCTCCATAGTAATGATACCTTTACCAAAAGATAGATAAGACAAAAGGCAGTATAAGAGTCGAGTAAGGGCACTTGGCAGTTTATCACTGCTTCTGATTGAGGGTATCGGAGGCACAGTGCCAGGATTTTTCAGAGAAAACACATGAACTTGAGTGGAGCTTTACAGTATGCATGTCAGTGGTCTGGCTCAGTTAGCACAGAGAAAGAAAGCTACAGACTGAGGACCACAGGTGGTAAGATTTAGGGTTAGGGCCATGTTTTCTTCATGGGAAGATGACTAATGGGCCTAAGTGAGATTTTTCACAAAGCTATATTACTACTTGTTGAACTCTTAAGAATAAAAGGCTAGATATTGTGTCTTGGCATTCAGAATATAAGAGGCCCACAACAAGCCGGAGCTGTGTATTGAATTAAACTTGTCTTAACGTAAGAATTTAGGTGTCATAAACCCTGCTTTTGGCTGGGGGTGTAACTCAGTGATACAGCACTTGCCCAGGATGCCAAGGCACTGGGTTCTCTCCCTAGTACTGCAAATCAAAGCAAACAAAACAAACCCCAGAAATCCTGCTTTTGAACTATTAAAGCTCAATGCAAGCTAAAAGACGTGAAAGATAGAATGTCTTGTAAACTCCATGTTTAAGTAAAATGCTCTGTTTTATGTGCAAAACTGTAACATCTGTTTGTTTTTATTTGCCAGGGATCAGTACCTGTTTAAAAACAGACCCACAGATGGCCCTCCCAATTCATTTTATAGATCATTATACCCAAAGATTATCCAGGATATAGAGGTAACTACAATTTATCTGTTTTATGGGCTTTTGGGTCTTGTTCTCAACTTTTTATGTTACCTTAGAATGTTCTTTTGTTCTAGAATCATGGAACTAGTAATTTTTAAGAGTTGAGCACTTGGAGTAAATGTCACCATGTACAATAACTTGTAGCTGTTCTTCAGCATAGAGCAAGTCTCTGAGTGTTATAAACTAACTGTTATAAAGCACAAAACACTTCTACAAGACTGCCAGTTAATTTAAACCTTAATCCAAAATCAACTTTTTATTCTGATTTGGTAAATCTTCCAAGATCCAAGACCCAGTTTTTTAGATAAACATAGTTTTACATTTTCGAGTCATCTCTAGAGAAATAGACAAGGTTCATCCTGTTTCTTCTGCACATTATCCGTGATTTTTCATGAAATGGCTTAGAAATTATTTTCAGCAGTCATTAGTGGATTTTATAAGCAAATTATGCTTCTGGACCACTATGGATTTGAATGTAACTCCACCAGACCAGTGGAGATTCACTGAAACATCAGCGATGTCTAATGTGTTCATGTTCTGATGTGTGCAGTTTCATTATGTAGTACCTTTCCTTGAATCAGGAAGAACTAATGTGCAGGCATTTCTCATTAACTCCTTCACATGTGTTCTTGGCTGGTCTCAGTTATTCACTATTTCCCCCTTGGCTAGAAAATGCTGTATCTCCCATAAAGATATACTCAGTTTCCCAAACGTGCAATAATCTTCTCCTTCCTGTGATAGACATAAAAGTTCTTATGCCAAAATTCATCAATGCAGAAACATGTGCTTTTTTGGAGTCCCACCCCACTCTTGAGGCAGATGCGAACTAATAGATCTGTTCTGTTAATGGTAAATCTGAATGTGACTGGAATACCATTATTTAAAAGATAAACTCTTGCCTTGGGTGTTATGCTCTCTTAAATGACCTAGAAAGTAACCTTTTAAGGCGAGTAAAATAACTTAAAACTTTTGCCAGACAAATAATAGAGGTTAGAAATGAATCGCTGCATGGTTCACATTTAGAATAAGTTGCCCGGTAGTGTTAGTGGGTTAGATGTAGTGTGTACTGTACTCTGAGGCTGCATGTGCATGGGCGAGGGAGGACTGTCTCCTATCTCTAGATAGCTCTCCTAAGACATTGCTTGACCTACACATCTTAGAAATGACATACTTTTGGCTTTGTGTGTTTGTGTAAGGGTCACCTGTTTACAGTGTCTCCAGATTTCTTTGAATGACTTCACAACCTCACTTATTTTGAGAAGGGTGCTGTTTAAAGCACCCATTAGTGACAAGAGCTCTTTCAAGTTGAAGATGATTTTGTCTAGCCCCTGTGACCACTATGGTAATCGATAGGGCAGACTCAGTGTTCTTTGGCAGGACGATATGTGACATCACCTTCCATCACCATTTCCTCGGGCTAAAATAATATGCTGGAGTTAGCACAGAAGGCAAATGTGGAGAAAACCCTGTTTGACATAAAGCCATCATGGTATTCTTCCCAGTGGCTCTGAAAGTGTAGTTTGGGAAAACCCACTGATGGATCACAACACTGTCCTCCAAGGTTCTGTGAACTGTCTCTTAGTTACTTATACTTTGGTGTATCACTAATAGTAACAAAAATAATGACCGCTAATGGAACATTTACCTGTGCCAGATCCTTTGTTTAGCACTTTATAATACATTTTCTCATTGAATAGACTGGACAAACCCCAAAAGGTAGGTCAAGTCCTTACTTAATTAAAGAAACATGGGCTCAAAAAGGTTCCTGTTCTAGGTCTCTCAGCTGGTGAGCCATGGAGTATGGGACCAGCTTTCTACGCTTCTGTCCTTCACACAAGTTGTTTTGTTATATAGATTACTGGTAATTGTGTTCTAACTGCCAGATAGCATTCTTCCCTGTTTGGAGAGTATACTTTATTCTGTCCAAGGTAGACATGTGTTCCATAGATCAGACAGTTGAGAAACTTGCAGGGCATGGCCCTGCTCATGTGGCTGGTCTGAAGCCCCCGTAGCAGGATGCAATCACTGCAGCACTTTCTCTTGAGCCCTGTAGCACACCATGAACCATCGTGGGTGATCTCAGACTGTTGGGTTTAGTATTAACTACAGGGTACATATTATTATCCTTCTCTGTAATAAGGGGAAGTTGAGACTAAAAGAAGCTTTCAAACTTTCTACATAGTTAAGTAGAAGAGATGGGCTTTTACTGAGGTCTGTCTACCTCTACACTTACAGTTGTTTATTATTTTCAAAGTGGAAAATTCAAGAAGTGAGGGAGAAAGAGGCGTATTGTTTATGCCTGGAGAATTTCAACTTGGTTTTTCTCATCCTTTCTCCAAGTATTTGAATACTCAGCTTCTTGTTCACCTTAGTTGAAAGAAAGCTGAGTTGAGATTACTTGGCCTTGTTGTAGTCCCACTGTGAGAAAGGTAGTTATCTGAAAGGTAAGTCAGCGCCTAGAAGGCCATGAGGCATGTGTACCTCTCCTTTCCCAGTTGCCCACACACTGTTGCAGTCTGTTTTCCTTTATAGTCTACAAAGCTGCCAGTTCACAACACCTTTCCCTGTTTTTCCTTCTTTCTCTGCCTTGACAGTGTGGTTCAGGTGCTGGCTCCTGAAATCCATCCTTCCCAGATTTGAATCTGAATAGCACAAAGGAAATGTTCACTTCTGAACTTTGCTCTCCCACGCCAACCCTCCAGAAATTGGCCACAGTTTAAGGAAAACGTAGACAACCTGGCTTAGTGTGGCTCCTATTATTCAGGAAGTGGGGTTGTGAGAAATGAAGTCTGGGGAGAATAAGTATTTTTAGCCTTCTGCAAAGTTCCTCTCGCCTGGTGTTCTTGCCACACACAGAGGGCTTGCAGGAAAAACTGAGACTCTGTCCTAAAAGAGTCAGCCATCTTCTCCTTTGCCATCAAGGCACCATTATCATTGTTATTACTGGTGACTTACTGCTAGGCACTTGGCTAGAGTAATTTGACTCTCAGATTATGGGAACAGATCCTTACTCCTCATAAGCTCTTTTCACTCTCTGCCCCCAGGTCTGTTTACATAGAGATGGTGTGGCCTTAACAGACTTAGAGTTGTGGTGCTCTAAAACTTAGATTTTTCTCTCTTGCCATTTCAGAGCAGTGACAGACTCCTTCATGCTGTACACCTTTATCATCTCTTTACTGACTGGAGTCAAGACTTTGAAGTGCTCTTCTTGGATCAGACCACTGAGAAAATGATGATGTGTTGTGTCATACCTTTTCATAAGCCACATTATATTTAGGAAAAGTGGGGAGCTCTTTTTGTGGTTTGCAAACTTGATATTCACATTGTCCTGACCAGTAAATGCTGGACTTGCCCACCCACCCAGTTGTGTTTAGGCTTCTAAAAATAATGTTATTCCTCCATGCTTGGACATCTGTTTTCACTCTGTCGCCAATTTAAATGTGCTGTCTACTCTGTGTATCATGGCTACTTTCCCAGTATTTTGAAAATTTGTGCAGGGTAAGGGGGATTTTACAAGTTCTCAGAAACACAAAATACTCCCCTACAGTAGCTGCACCATGTGGTGGCGAAGTGGAATGGCAGGTGTCCTGTGCACCTGTGCAGGCCTTGCGCTGCTGCTGTTGATACAGGACAGTAACGAGTGGAGTTCCATCGGAGGCTTTGCATCTCTCTGGAATGATTAAGGAGTGCTCAGACCAAGACAGTACTGCCTGGCAGTTTGCAGGTAGCAGCCTGTTCTGGGCAGTGTTCTGAGAAGGCACTGTGCGGGGCACGTAAAAACGTGATCTTAATGATCCTTACAGTAGCTTTGAGGGAGTAGGTGTTGCTGTTCCCGTTTTTACAGGAGACAACTGCCACTCAGGCAATTGAATCGTTTGCCAAAGCTGCAGTTTGACCTAGGTGTTTGCTGCCACAGTAGGCTGCCCACCAATACAAGGGTCTAGTTCATGTAAGAGTGAGGTCCTTAGAGTTGGTGCAAGAAGTGCTGCTTTCAGATGTGGGTGGCCAGGGATTGAGGAGAGGCAGTCTCAGGACTCCCTGATCTGATCCCAACAAACTTGTCTTGTCTTGGGGTTCAGGAACGTAATGAGCAGAGACTTTGATGGCTGACCCACCAAGGGTTATTTGTAAACTTTTTCTTTTCAGATTCAGAAACATCTTTTAGAAAGGGCTCCTTGTAAGTGTTGAGAGGTCCTGCTGTATAACTCCTGCTTCTTTGTTTTCAGGGTTTTAGGGCAATAAAAGATTGTGACGGTCACTCAGCTCTAGAGCTGTGGAAAAGCTTGAAGGAAACCCTCCTCGCTTCTCTTTAAATGGAAAAATTGTCAAGCTCTACGGAATAGTAAATGTGCCTTTTCTATTTATTGAAATACAGAGTGACTCAGTGACATTTTAAAGCTTTTTTTGGGTGGCACTTGGGTTTGAATTCAGAGCCTTGGGATTGCAAGGCAGGCACTGACTATTTGAGCCACACCCCATCCCTTTTTTGGTTTGGTTATTTTTGAGATACAGTCTTGCATTTTCTCCTCCCCGCCCCACCCCCATCCTGCCCAACCTGACCTGCGATTCTCTTAGTAATCTTCCCACTTAACTGAGATGACAGGCATGCACCACCATACCCAGTTTTGTTGTTGTCATTGTTGTTGTTGTTGAGATGGGGTCTCACTAACTTTTTGCCCAGGTTGACCTCCAAAATGTGATCCTTCTGATTTCTGCCTCCTCTAATTATTTAGGATTATAGACATGAGCCAACTTGCCTAGCAATTGTGTATATTTTAAACCTAAGAACAGCTTTGTGAATTTTTAAAACAACTTATATATAACGTAAGCCATATTGTATATTCATCTTTGTAATACTTTGAGTTCATATGGAGCCGTACATTCTGCATCAACTCTGGTGTCTCCCAGAGAGTGTCACCTGAATGTGGGAAACTACTGCCCAGCATCACTGGCAGGAAGTAGACTTGTATCAGTAAACCTTGCCTCCAAGCCAGCATCTTCCTGGAGTGTGTTGCATACCACGAAGATGACTCGGTCACTCTTTTTCTCAATGATTCCAAGCATTGAGTTCACTTTAAGTTCTTTATATTCTGGATCCCCTTTTTTAAAAAAAGCTGCTTATATAGACAGATGTGATGTCTGCCTTGATAGAGATAGCAGAGGTGGGGTAGATTAATTCTTTTGGTTCTAAAATGTGGTTTTATGTGCCTGACATTGTACCAACTCCCTGAAGACGATCCAGGCTAGGGAGTCCTGACGTGGGGCAGATGGGCTTTCCCTGGCTCCAGGCATCTCCATGGTACCCACACACCCTCTGTGTGGCTGTGTGTACTTCTTCAAGGGTACGGGTGTTTCCAGGACCTTCGTTAATCACTGAGACTTCCCTTTTTAAGTGTATGTATATCAGTGTCTTCAACTGCCCGTTTCTTTCTCAAAAAATGTGGACAACACTTCCTGCTTCATGGGTTCCACATCTTCAGATTCAGCAACCTGCAGATCAAAATTATGTAGAAAAAACTTGCATCTGTACTGAGAACATACAAAGATATAGATAGATAGGTAGGTAGATATTGGTCGTTATTCCCTAAGCAGCACAGTGTCACAGCTATCTTATCTAGCGCTTACACTGAAAGTATTAAAAGTAGTCTAGACAGGGTTAAAGTTTACAGCAGTACATGTGTAGGTTACATGGAAATTTTGTGCTACTTTATGAGACACTTGAGCACCTAGATTTTGGAATCTGCTAGACTGGGGAGCCAGTCCCCCTGGGGTGCTGAGGGAGGATTGTGTGTGCCCTGCATAGTGGCAGGGCAGCTGATGTCTGGTACACAGCATTCAGGAAATTTTAGCTTTGTTGAGAGTACAGAAGAAACTTTCATCAACGTAAGAGGAAGTACAGTTGTTAGATGTCAGGAGAGCCAGTTGTTATCTGTTTGTTGTGCGCACAGATGGATTTATCTCCTTTCTTCACTGAACAAGCAATTAACCTGTTAGCTGTTCCTTCCAGTTGTACCCTAAGCTGAGTGTAACCAGTTATTGTTGGCCTTGTTGTTCTCTGATTTCAGGGAACAGGAATTCAGACTTTGGTTGTTCTTAGTAGAGGCTTTCTGTCTTTTGATCCTAGAAAATCCCTCGTCTCCACCCCCAGAGGCTGGGTCTGATTGTAGTCTGGGCATAGCCTCTTTCTCAGTGACCCTTTTCAGGCCAGAGCACTGATGCCTAGTCCTGTGGATGAAAAGTTTTGCACTTGCCTAGCACTGATAGCTGAACTGTTACTGATGTTAGTGTTCTGTGCTCATGGCCTCACCACCTTTCTTTTTGGGCATCCACAATGGTAGCAAAGGCCTTGGCTAGATCAGAAAGAACTGGTTGTGATTTCCAGCTAGGCCAGTCATCAGTTTTGTGGCCTCAGGCAGGTTAAACTGAACTTCTTTCCAAGGTTATTGCATTGATCTTCTAGCCAAATAAATTTAATTTGAAGTACAGATGTTCCTTGATTTACGATGGGGTTACATGGAACTGAATACATTCAGTTGAGAATGCATCTCACACACCTACCTAACCTACCAAACCTTTGAGCCTTGGGCACTGTGCACTAGAGTTTTAGTTGTTTCTCATGTGATCCAGTGGCTGACCGGGAGCTGTGGCTCACTGCTGCTACCCAGCATTGCAGATAGCTAGCCAGGAAAAAAAATTAAAGTTCAAGTACAGTTCTACTGAGTGTATTGCTTTTGCACTATAAAGCCAAGAAAAATCCTAAGTCTAACCATTGTCATCACAGGCCATCGGATATCTAGTTCTGGGTATCATGTACCTAGATACTAAAGAAATGCCCTCTCCCTTTCCCTGTATCTCTCCTTCCCTGCCACCACCCCTTCCCTCCCTCCCTCTCTCTCCCCTTCCCCCGCCTCATTTATGTTGTTTGTTTTTATGTTTAAGATAAGGTCTTACTATGTAGCCCAGACTGGCCTTGAGCTCGCCATCCTCCTGCCTCAGCTCCGATTACTAGGATTATTGGTGTGCTCCACCATACCTGGCTCAGTGCCTCCTTTGAATGCAGATTTCCTGTTGCTCTTTTTATGCTCAGTGCTTACACAGTACCTGGAATGTGTTAACATTTCAGTGGATGTTGCATGAATGATGAAAGAATGAGAGTCTGGGCCGAAATGTGCCGTTCTTACCGTAGAGCGACTTTAGTGTGGTGGGAGATTAAAAATGATACCAGTTCTTTTATGTAATTGGCATGTACTAGTTGCACAGTCTCTTCTCTTGATGACTGAGGCTGTGCTTTGGTTGGATACGACATTGTCAGGATATGCTTAATGACGGTAGAAGTCTTTTGCCAAGTATTTTAATTGGCATGAGGGAGTGACCCAAGGAGTTATTATTTATTTGTATGTTTTGGGTGCAAGCGACATTCTTTAAACATATTGAATTCTGTCTAGGGTATTTCAAACCTAACCTAAAACTCATTGGAAATCCTATGATACTTGCCAGATGGGTAGGGAAAGCTTGAGACAAAACATTGTTGGGCTAATGTCTTATTGGAAAAGAGCATGATTTCTGTCTGCAGCCAGCCATGCAAACCAGGATTGGGTGTCAGTGGCGTGCTGCTTCTGGAGGCAACACCAAATCCCAAAACCTGACAGAATAGTCGTTTCACAAAACCTCATCTTCTGCCTCTTTTTCCCCTAGACCATAGAATCTAACTGGCGGTGTGGTCGACACAACCTGCAGAGGATTCAGTGCCGCTCTGAAAACAGTAAAGGCGTCTACTGCTTACAGTATGATGATGGGAAGATCATCAGCGGCCTGCGAGACAACTCCATCAAGGTGAGTGGCTACATTGCACATTGTCCTCAGGGATGGAGGTGGTCCTCTCACCCCTTCCTGCCATGGCAGCTCCCAGTGTGGCTCAGGAGAACCAGAGCCAGACATGTCCCTATATCTAGAAAAGACCTCTTGTCCTCTCTAAAGAGAAGATACCCCACCACAATGCCACGGGGACCTTGATGACTTTGCTAGCTGGGAGAGTACTGCTGGTTTCCTGGAAATCAGTTGGTGCCTTTTATTGATTCTGAGAAGGGATTGAATGACGATGATAGAAAAAAAGCCAAAGGTCAATTTTTTCCCTCACTTTTCAGTAGTAAACTGGATTATCTTCTGTGTTTAGTCTGTTTGACAGCTGATGTGACAGTTTGTTTTACATTGTTTGCATCTTGTTTCCTCACATTTAAGAAAACATTGAGGGTTTTAAAGATAATTTATATGCAAGGTTTATAGCCAAAACAATAGCTCTGTTCTTCAGCCCCTCAGATTCTGCCATGCTGACCCTTTGAAATCACCTCCCCACCCTGCCCCCATGCCCTGGAAGCCAGTGATCTTTTTTCTCATCCCTACAGTTTTTTGCCTTTCCCAGAATGTGTAGATTTACATAATATGTGATTTTGGCTTCTTAAACTTAGTGCAGTGCACTTGAAATTCCATGATGTACTGTATTTCCCAGTAGTTCCTCCGCTTCTTGCTGAGCACATTCCATTTCATTGGGCACACCACAGTGTGTGTAAAGGACATTTGTGTGTTTGTGTGTGCCATTTCTCACACTTGTAAGCAACACTCTAGAAATAGTGCAGGGATCTCGCTCTCTAGGAGCACAGGCTGTCGGTCCACTTGGGCAAAACCATGGGGTATTCTTGGGTTTGGTGATGAAGTTTTAGACATAACACCAAAAGCATGGCCTATGAAAGGGAGAGCTGATAAACTAGGCTTCCTTAAAATTAAGTATTTCTGCTCTGTGAGACACTGTCAACAGCACATGACAAGCTACAGACTATAAAGATACATCTGATAAAGGAGTGTTATCCCAGGCATGCAAAAAACCTTTAAAATTGCAACAATCAGACAACAAATACATTAAGAAAAATGGGCAAAGACCTTAATAGACACCTCACCAGAAGGGGTGTTCACCCAGCACATCATCGTTTGCAAAGATTCTCCACACCATAAGTCACGAGGAAAAGGCAGGTGCGACAGACAGTGACATCTCACCTCGTACCATGATCTGATCACTGACGATGCCACATGTGTGAGGACAGAGCAACAGGACCCCACTTATTTCTGGTGGGGATGCATGATGATTTAGCACCATGGAAAGCAGTTTGGCAGGTCTTTGAAAACTAGGCACCCTGTCCATCTTGTCACATTGCAGCTGTTTGATATTGACCTCTTCTTGTCTACTGTAACACTAGCACGTTTCACTGATTCAGAGCCCAAGGTGTGGCACCAACATTGGTGGGAATGGGATGCTCTGAATTACTCTCTCTGGTTGATCTTGTCTCAGTAGATTTGGGATAAAAGCAGCCTCGAGTGTTTGAAAGTGTTAACAGGACACACAGGCTCAGTCCTCTGTCTCCAGTATGATGAACGTGTCATCGTAACTGGCTCTTCAGATTCTACGGTGAGGTGAGTGCTCTGGGTTCCGCACTGACCTTGATACCTATCCATGAGGAGACGGAGGTGGAACCCTCTTCTGGTACTGGTGTATACTACGTGTATGTTTTTACTTGCTGTATTTCAGGGCTGTTTTTGATGCAGATGTGTTTGAGCAGTGTGGGCGGGAAAGCTCATTTTCATTTGAGATGTCTTCTTCCCCTTGCCATGTGTTACAGAGATGGCAGCTTGGTTTCTCCTCGTGGGAGCCTGTGGTCCAGAGCAGAGAGGAGGAAGGTAGCGGTCTTAAGAGTGTGGCTAGTGTCAGCTGCAGGTACTGGAGGAATCATAGCCTTTTGAGGGGCACAGGGACAGTGAAGGGACATAGGGATGGCCAGGGAGCGGGTTAGATATGTCATATAATGCTACCCTGTTGAGTTCTCACATCAGCCTCTGTAAGTAGGTAGACACCATCTTCATTTTTAAAGATACATTAGGAAGCCAAGGCCAGAGAGGTTAAATAATATTTCCAGACTCGCACAGTCAGTACATTTTGAACCTTGAATTTATATTGAACACAAGACTATGTTTTCCAGTGGTAAGGCTTTAGTGTTTAGTTGCCACTCAAGTTGGAGAATGAGGTTACAAGTGGCAGTCAATGTCTCATTGCATCAGGGAAGCAGTGCCTGCTTGAGGGCCCCAGAACCACAAAAGGAGCGTGATTGAGATCTGCTCTGCATTCTGGGACTAGCACATTCCCCATGCCAGTGACCTGTGGGATGAGGTGGACAGGTCCACAGAGCTAGAGGCATGCTTGTGGCAGCGTCTCTACTGGACTTCAGTGCTTGGAGGAGTGGGTTAGAAGGAAGTGCCTCTTGGCTGACACGGATGCTTGCAGAGGTTGACTGGTTATAGGCATACAGAGGAGTTGAGAGCAGTGGCTCAGTCTGTCCCTCCCCCCTTTCTCCACGAGTTAGTTTTGGTTACTACTCTCTTTCCACACTCCTGGCTCTTTCTGAACCCCTGCCACCACACATTCCTGCTGTTCCCTGGCTCAGCCTTTGGAGTCAGAATCATTTCTCCTCTGCCCTGTGTGAACTTGGCCTCTTAGGAGATTGGAGCTGCAGAAAAGATTAACTTTTCCAGAAGGTCTTCCCCTAAGACCCCAGATCTCAGGTGTGAAGCCATTGGGAGACTCTGGCTTGGTCTGTAAGGCACTGGGGTGAAGAAATGGGGATTGATGAGACACCATGACTTAGAGTTTGCACAGGTTGACCTCCAGAGGTCAACAGGAACCTTATGCTTGGGACCATCCTCGATTCCTCAGCTGCCAAGCCTCCTCCCTCCTGTCCTCACAAAAGAACACTGGGTCATCCCATTACACAAGCCTGCAGACACCATACCTGAGTTTTAAATAAGCCTGAGCAGAGCCAGAATTAGCCACTTCTCCAAAACCATGTCAGCAAATAAACAAGTTGCTGCTGTCTTCCCCGCTACCAAAAATCATGTAATTGTGTACACTAAGACTGGACCCACACAGAGCTTAGCCACCATAATCTTTCCGTGACTGTCACAGTAATGGCACGCCGTGCATCTCTGCTCTCTTCTAGAGTCTGGGATGTGAACACGGGTGAAGTTCTTAACACGTTGATCCATCACAATGAGGCTGTCCTTCACTTACGCTTCAGCAATGGACTGATGGTGACTTGTTCTAAGGACCGCTCCATCGCTGTGTGGGACATGGCTTCTGCCACCGACATCACTTTACGCCGTGTCCTGGTTGGCCACCGCGCTGCTGTCAATGTAGTAGACTTTGACGATAAGTACATCGTGTCTGCCTCTGGAGACAGGACCATCAAAGTAAGTGTGCCTGCAGTCAGGACCTGCCTGCTCCTGGCACTTGAGTAATGGAGACAAAGCACAGGTGGCTTATAGTAGCCAAGGGCCAGGCGAAATCTCAGTTCTCATAGCTCTCGAGACCCTCCCACCCACATGCTTCTAGGGTCACAGGCCAGGCAGGAGGAGCCCTTGGTCTAGAATAGAGAGCAGCCCTCAGTTTCACCAGTGGCATTGTGCTGCACTAGGACCTCCCACAGCCAGCTCACTCCACCCTCCGAGGCAGGTAGTGCCTGCGTTTTACAAGTGTACCTCGGAAAGAGAGGAGGTGTGCTAAGTAGTGCAGACCTCAGTCTGCTTTGTTCACTTAATTTTGAGAGCTTGCAGTTCCAAAGACCCTGGGCTAGGCGCCAGAGAAAAGAGGATGTCCCCGCCTTCAGTAATTGGCTTGTGGTACGAGGGGAGGCAGACATGCAGTCCAGGATGCAAAGGATATGCACTTCTGAGTCTAGCATCCACATCAGCCTTTTCAAATACTAGCTTTCTTATTTTTATAACGACTTTACTGAGGTACAGTCTCTATGTCGTGAGCATGGAAACTGCATTTCAGATGTACAATTCAGTAGCCATGAGTGCATTTCCAGCAGTGTGTGACATCGCCACCCTGCAGTTTCTGGACATTTTCATCATATTTTTATCTAGGACACCTCAGGCTCTTCCACACCCCCAGTTGCCAGCAATCCCAGTCTCCTTCTGTGTCTGGATTTGCCTATGTGCTGTTTCATATAAGTGGGATCCTACAAGACACGGCCTTTTGTGTCTGGCACTTTTTTTTTTTGTTTTTAAAGTAAAAAACAAAAAGAAAAACACCTACACTTAATGTTTCCAAGGCTCATCCAGTGCACTGTGGCATGCATCAGTATTTCATTGCTTCTCATGACCAAATAAAATGCCATTGTGTCTGTGGATGTGCCTCATCTTGTTTATCCATTTCTTGATTGATGGATTGATGGGCTAGTGTGAATAATGTTGCAATAAACATTTATGTACAAGGTTTTTGTGGGATGGTAGCTCTGTGTTTAACATTTTGAAGAGCTGCCAAACTGTCCCAAAGTGTCTGTACCATCTTACAGTCCTGCCAGCAGTGCATGAGGGTTTGAACTTGCTCTAAGAACCTTCTTTTAATGACAGCACCAGATAGTGTTCTGGTAACTAGTCCCCCAAGTCATGGACTGTGTGGTGTCAGTCCATAGACCACTTAATGTGAAAGCTGAGCTGCTAGGATCGTATGTATTAACTTAATCACACCTCATACCACCTGTGCAAGAGCAGAGCCTAAAGTCAGAAGGGTTTACCCTACCACAGTGGACTCTTCTTTATGTCAGCCTCACACTTTCTCCACATCCTCGCCAGTGCTTGTTGTGCTCTTTTTTGTTAATTAGAGCTGTTCTGATGATGTGCAGAAGTACTCTGGCTTGATTCTAGCCATCTTTTTATGTGCTTACCTACCACTCGTATACCTCTCTGGAGAAATGTATTAAGTGATTGGGTAGTCTGTCCTTTTGTGGTTCAGTTATAAAAGTTTGTTTTTAAATACTTGTTCTGGATCTGAGTCCCATATCAGATATGTGATACTGATTTGCTCCCATTTGTCTTTTCACTTTCTTGACGGTGTCTTTGAAGCACAGATGACTTTAATTGTGACGACACCCAGTTTGGTTTTTCTTTGGTTTGTGATGTGTAAGAAACCCAGGCCACAGAGGCTTGCTTTCCTGTGCTCTTCTAAGGGCTGCTTCAGGTTGTCCATTTAGAAATAAACATTTGTTCGTGTGTAGGGATCCAGTTTTTTTTTTTTTTTTTGCATATAAATATTCATCCCATTCCAGCATAGGTGCAGCTGGTACCGTAATTCAGGGTACTTCAGTTACTCTGTGTCCTTTTATTTGGTTATCATATATCAAATGTGAACATCTAAGTCATGCAGATAATGTCATAGGAGAGGGTATTACTTATTTCACCGACAAAGTATTAGGAGTGGTACAGTGAGATAAATGGAGCTGGTCAGGACCCTGCTGGAAAGAAGAGAACCAGTCACATTAGGCATGACACATCAGCTGCAGTGAGAACATACAAGCTGGCAAATAAATGCCTACAGCATCCCGGAGGTGTTCTGCTTGTGAACATTCCAAAGTCCTGAGACTTCGAAGTCCTCTGTATTTTCATTCCACTTTTATCTCTCAGCAGCCAGTTTTTCTCCAGCTTCCAACTTTGAGTTGTATTTGGGTTATTCTTAGAAGTCAATGCTGTCTATCTCTTCCTCTGGGTGGGAGGACCTCCCGTGCCCATCTTACACACCTGGCTGTTTATCATCAGGTCTGGAGCACCAGCACCTGTGAGTTTGTCCGCACTCTGAATGGGCACAAGCGAGGTATCGCCTGCCTGCAGTACCGGGATCGGCTGGTCGTTAGTGGATCATCAGACAATACCATCAGGTGGGTAGAAGTTGGTGTGTGACACGCAGGCTTATTCTTCCCAGGACGTCCATTCATCGCCTACTCCAAAGACTCAGGCGACTCATAGTGAACGGGTTGGTTCACATAAGAAAACTGTAGGAACTCAGTGAGTCTGTTTGCTCTGCAGTTCAAATGGGGGAACTGTGCGCCCTAGTGTTTTCCAGGATCACTTCACACCAGAGCCCAGGAAGCACTACACCAGCTCTTTTGGGAGCCGCACCTCCTTCCTAGCAGGCACAGACTTTATTTCTCTCCCTCAAGACACCACTACAAAGTCATCCCTCCTGCTGGCTGTTCTTCTGCCTTCCTTTTCTCTTTCCAACACTCACTCTCCTTGCTTTTCAATAAATGGGACTGAAAAACACCCTTTGTATTTAATTATCTTGTCATTTTCCACCATTCCATCACATGGAATATTTTTTACAGAAATGACAATAAATGTGCTTATAACCAAATTGCCTAATGTTTGGGACAAATAAAAATTGGGTTCAAGATTTAAAAAAAAAAATAGACAGCAACAAAAAAATTATTAACTGCTGAAAGTTTTCTTTCCTCCTCTTTTTAAGTCTTGTGTTTTTAATTAAACAAGGTTTATGAGGTACAGTGATATGTAAATTTTATGTTTTTATCATTTTAAGTTTTAAGATATACCGGTTTAGAGCTAAAGTCTTGGTTTTATTATATGCTTCGACTTGGAATGTTCTGTAATGTTCCAAAAATAAAGTCTTTAACTTGCTCATTGTAGTCTCTAAGGTTTTGCAAAATACTACTGTGTATTTCTCTGCAGTTTTTGGTGTCACAGTGGCAGTGCTGGGTGGCTCTGCTTACAGTAGATTAAAGGAACCACCGTCACCTTCTCACAGATTTGCAGAGGACAGCTGTAGGACAGCGTCCGAGGGACATAGAAGTTACTGGTGCAGAGGCTAAGGAAAAGCTGCGATAGCATTACTGCACTCACTTGGTTTTGTATGTGCCAGTTGGCACATTATTTATTTCTTTTCATAAATAATGATGAAAATTACAATGGGAAGAAAAAAGAAGGAAAACATCTCTTAACTCCAGAATTGGAGTGCCTGAGAATTGGCAGTCTAAATCACGCGCAGAGAAAGACCTGTGAAGCAGCTGGTGAGTTTACATTTGCCTGACACCGTGCACACAGTGACCACACATGTGCTGGACAGCCCAGTGCACGGTGCATGCATGGAGGGCCTCACAGACTCAGCTGTACGTTTTGTCGTCTTTGCTTTCTGCAATCCCTGTCTCCTGAGCTCCAACATCAAGAGAAAGCCTAGGGATCAACAATTGAAGTTTCTTTGTTGATTTGATTTAAATAATAAATGTACATGGTTGTAAAAGTTTCAAACGAGGAAATGCAGCAGAAAGTAAGCTTCCTCTTAGACAAGAACTAACGCATGGCTCTGTTTTTCATCCAAGGCTGTGGGATATCGAGTGTGGTGCCTGCTTGCGAGTCCTGGAGGGCCATGAGGAGTTGGTCCGATGCATCCGCTTTGACAACAAGAGGATTGTCAGTGGCGCCTATGATGGGTGTGTGTTTCAGATTTTCAAATGTGCCACGTGGCAAGCAGCTGTAGTGCCAGGCCTGTGCCGGGTGTTTTCTGTGCAGACCAGTTGATGCCAATACACACAGGCCCAGAAAGATGTCAGTCGTGCTCAAATCGCACAGGCACAGAACCACTGTAGATGACGAGCTGACACTTCATCAGGGCTGTGCGACTCACCCTAGAGCCAAGCTTACCTCTTTTCCTCTTTGGCCATGACTTAGGAATGAGGGGTTGGTGACTGCAAAGTACTCACTTTTGCCGCATACGTACTTCACATCTTTGCAGTGTCACACAGAGCCCAAGCTCTTGTCAGTGCCAAAGGGCTCCCTGCGCACTGACGTGCATTACCTAGCTGAAGGTTTTCTTATCTCTCTTGAAATAACATTTCTTCAGAATTTCCCAATTGTGACAATGTTACATCCTTGTTTTTTCTAAAGTGGTTCAAAAATGTGTAAAAACAAGTGTGCCACCCACTAGCTTTTACAGCAAGTCTTTTTAGTGTAGTCTTCTGGCGTGGAAAGCTTGACAGTGTACGAAAATGCTAACTTTCCACTCATCAGTCTCGTTCTCTTTCTAGGAAGATTAAAGTTTGGGACTTGCAGGCTGCCTTGGACCCCCGAGCCCCCGCCAGCACCTTGTGCTTGCGCACCTTGGTGGTATGTGTCCATGTGTCGGGGCGGGATTGTTGGGGGTGGCCTTCGGTAGCCTTACTTAGGAGGAGCAGAGGGAAGCAAACCTTCAGGGAGGTTCACTGTTGGTTCTGGTTAGTCAGAACCAGAGAGTATTTGATTTTGGTTGTTTTTGAGGCAGGGTCTCACTGTGTGTCCCAGCCTGGCCTGGCGCTCTCCATCCTCCTGTCGCAGCCTCCCATGTTGGGATTACAGACACGCACCACCCCACGCTCAGGTCACGTTTGATATGTAGGTAGGAGCACAGGCCGGCTGCTATGTAGGTGCACTGGTGTCCTTACAAGGTTTGCTGTGTTTTCTTCCTGTAGGTTTTGAGATTCCTTAACACATCAAACTTGCACTTTTAAGGCAGAATCTCCCCTCAGACTGTGCAGGATGGACTATTGGTTTGGCATATAAGAATACTTTATTTTTAATTGTCAGATAATAATTGTATATTTATAGGGCACAATAATTTTTTTTATCTACACATACATTATAACAGAGTAAGTCTAACTAATTAACATATCCGTTTACACTGTCTTGTGCATGTATTTGTGGTGGAAATATTAAAAATTCTCCTTTGGCAATTTTGAAATACATAGCACATGCCTGTGCGCAGTGCAGTAGCCCATTCAGATGGGCTGCGTCTACCCGACCTGTGTGCCCTTTGACCCTCCTCCCTCCACTACTTCTCCCTCCACCCCCCCCCACCCCGGTGGTAACCCTTCTCACCCTGTTTTTCTGAGATTGACTTTCTGTGCCTGGCCTGTTTCACTTAGGGTAATGTCCTGCAGGTCCATCTGTGTCAAAGCAATGGCAGAATTTCCTTTCTCCTTGAAGACTTGAGTAGAGAGAGGTTATTTTTATATCACCTTATTTGAGCAGCTTGACCACACTGATTGTTCCTGATAGTCTAGTTGATTCTTTTTTGTTTTTGAGGAGACATCTAAAATATTGATAGATTTTTATTATTTTCAGTAATTTTATCTTTTCATGTTTTATTTCTGTTTTCTTCACTTTTTTTCTTGTTGGCAGAGGTACTGGGGTTTGAACTCGGGTTCTTGCACTTGTTAGACAGGCACTCTGCCACTTGAGCCACACCGCCAGCCTCTGTTCCTTCTCTTCTTGCACTGAGACACCATGCTGAGCGGGCCATCTTGCCTTGTTGATTTCAGTGGGAACGCCTCTCCCGTTCCACTGTGAACTTTGATGTCATCTGTGGTGTGAGATGAGAGGGGTTGCAACACCCTCCTGTTGCTAATTAAGGTGCTGTCTCCATAGGAGCATTCTGGACGTGTGTTTCGGCTACAGTTTGATGAGTTCCAGATCATCAGCAGCTCTCACGATGACACTATTTTGATTTGGGATTTCTTAAATGTGCCTCCCAGTGCCCAGAACGAGACGCGCTCTCCCTCCAGAACATACACGTACATCTCCAGATAACAGTCTGCACTTTCACCCGTTCAGGTGAGTGCTCGGCCTCCTTGGTGATGGAGCCCAGGTCTCTGTTGGGTGCAACAGCTTTGCAGAGGTCCAGTGCAAGGCTGGTGTCCACAGTCATCAAAACAAAACAAGGCCTCATGCTTGGGACCCTGTTGTAAAATGTTTTCTGGAATGATTCGTCAGTTGTGCCATTGTGGCACCATCACAGTCTTTTCCAGTTTTATTTTGTGTATAAGAATCTCTCTTTTCTTCTGTTCTTTTACTTTAACAACCTACAAAAAACATTGTTAACAAAGCATTAAAGATCACTCTCCTGAAGGATGATGATCAGAGAGACCACTCCTGAATGATGAATCAAAGGACAGTGTTGGTTACCAGAGCCCCATAGCTTGTTCTTCATGAAAGCCCATTCTTTACGCTAGAGATGCAGCAGAGGTCCTGAGGAGCTGATGCTCAGCTCTGCTTCCAGGAAGCCTGGGGGCCATTCTAACCATCGGTGAGGGAATGTCGGACTGCTGGAAGATGACATCCTGGACACTGCTGACCGTCTGCAGCAATCTTCCCAACTCAAATCTCCAGGGGCAGTGAATTCTGTACACATTAAACCTTGTAGAGTTAATGAGTACACTTATACCTATTCATACTTCTATAAGTATACCTATATGAAGACTTGTGGTTAATCCAACTCATTTTAAAAACATTATTTAATTCTTAGTAGCTTTTTAAAATTACATATCTTCCTGTTTATTAAATATGAAAAGTACAAAGGAAGTTTACTGCAGAATTAGGAAAGCTTTTGGATGAAAATCTTGGGAACCCCTAGTCCCTAGTCACCAAGTTGCCATCTTTCGTCAAGATTCTAAAGTCCTACAAATAGATCTCTTCAAAGGAGCTTGTCTTACCAAGGGGTTAACACACCACAGCCAGGTGCCAAATTTCACTGCCTCTGTAGGCTAAGGTTAGTTTTTACATTTCTTATGTGTAAGAAAGTCATCATTGGTTCTAGCAAAAGTCTTTCCTTTTATCCTCGAATTGCCTCAGCACCTCTGTCACGTAATCACTGGCCACTCAAGTGGGTCTACACCGTCCTTCTGTTTGGTGATCAGCGTGACTATCGCACCAACTCCATACATCTTTTTGATGTGCCTTCCATCCTTTTGTGAAGTAAGTTTGTTTTGCCTCCTCTAGGTCGTTTTGGTTTTTAATCCTTTTTAATTAGATTGTGATATTCTGAGATGGCCTTTGGGAGTTTGACTAGGACAGCATTGAACTTAGACATCGTTTGGGGATATACCAATGTTCCAGCCTGTACACGTGGTGTACCCTCACTCACTTAGCTCGTTGTCAGTGTTGGGTCATTTTCATTAAATTTTTTTCCATTCTTAGCTCTTTGGAAACCTTTAGAACTATATATTTTTCCCTGTGTACATTGCTTTAGCAATTCCTCCCTAACAGCACATGAGACTAGGCTTTCAGAGAAGTCTGTACATCAGAATATAGCTGGGCCCCTGGTCTGGCCTGCCTGGGACAGGTGTGTCACTAAGCAGTTTAAATGCGCCTCTTTTGTGTTTTTAATATGTGCTGTGTCTTTGCACTCGGTGTATAGAAGAGGCACATGGTAAACTCATCTGTACAGTGTTCTTAATGAGGTAAATTACAGAATGTAGCGCCCTAAAACCAAGTTCCTTCGTTGAGAAGTGAGGTTGTGATAGCCAGTATGTTTCTCTTCAGCTTTGGTGGAAACTCCTGTTACTTCTTCCAGACCCTTCTCCCTCTTCTTTGGAACCTAAGGGTACCGCCTTGTTAGGATCCACAATTGTAAGTCAATCTTGAGACTTTTCAGTCTTACCCACTGTATAAGAAGGCAGGACTTCATATCCCGTCAACAACAGTGAAACCCAAATGTGTTTGTGTCCTCAAAGTGAGCTGCTCTTGATAGCCTTGGTGTCAGCACCAAATTGTGTTGCCTTTTTCCAGATTCTTTTCTGTTTTTTATTGTACAATGAGAAACTTATTACCATGTGACACACTAAGATTATGCAGAGTAAGAAATATGACCCCAGAGATGAGTTAGCCTCGCAGGAAGGTTCACCCTAAATATCAGGTAAGTATATCTCTGTGGTAGGAATTGTAACAATGGGTTTATTTTCCAAGTCATTTTGAAAAAAATGAATTACTACTAAGAAGTGTACGTGTAGCAGTGAATCTTACAACAGGGCAATATAATAAATAATACCATGGGGCTACTGAGAAATCAGAAAAGTAGGTAAACCAAAAGAAGGAAATAAACTCCTGCTCACAGTTTACAGTTCACAGTTAGTTCCTTTGGTATGTATCATTTCAGGCCTTTTAAAATTATGATTTGTAACTTTTGTTTTTAAGGTGCTTTTTTTGGTCTTTATTGTGAAATTATTACGTGTTAGTAATGTAGTAATTGTCTAAGTCATCATTCCCGATTGCCAAATCATACTGGGCTTGGGTAAGCCCTGCCCTCCCCTCCTTGCAGCTGTTGAAGAAAACTGCCTTGCTCCTCCTCCTGTCCTAATCTGTGATCAGGCTCTGCAAGTGCCTGGGTTAGAGCTCATCCCACCCAAAGACTAATGCCTCATTCAGGCTGTTCCACAGGAGCCCGCCAGCCTCCAGGAGTACTGGCCTCGTCCCTTGCAGTCTCTGCTCCTGGCTCCTAGTGAAACAGGTCAGGTACCGAGAGATGTCTTCAAGAAAACAGCAGTGGAAAAGGTCCGAGCTCTCGCACTGTGAGGAGGTGGTTAGGTTTCCTGTCTGTGTGAAAACTGACCACCTTTTTAAACAGTGCCTTCAAAAAAGCATACTCACTTGTAAAATGTTTCTGAATGGATTTTGACTTTGTTTTGACTTAGAACAGAAAATGTCAGCCTGCATTGTCCATGGCAATGATAAACACTGTCTCCTGCGTGATTGTTTCAGAGGAATGTGTGTGCATGCTTGCATGTGTACTTACATGACTGATGCAGAAAGCGTGATTAAAATGTTCTTCTGCCTCGAGGCGATGGTGAACAAAACATGGAGCATTTGCTGGTCCTTCCCTAACCCCTGTGTTGTTCTTCTGCATGATTCATTTCTGATTATTAGCGTTCTGTTTAGCTTATTTATTTTGCATACATTGTTTGCCAGTGATAGTTGAGGGGTCTTCTGAGAGAACCATAGGCCCTTGCAGGTCCTGAATGTCACCGAAGATTGTGCCAAATGGAGAACCCAGTGTTAGCCATTTTGGTTGAATCATTTTTTAGTAGCAACAGTGAAAGATGGCAGGTGCAGGGTCAGCTTCCCTTTGAATCTCGCTATGCCACTTGCTGGGTCATTGAACCAAGTCTGCCCTTTGTGACCCTTGTTTTTCTTATTTGCAAGGCGGGTACAGTGATAGTTGGCTTGCCGTGAGGTCTCAGTGCCCTCAGAACGGCTTCCAGCACTTTGTGCTGCTTGTTTGAGAAGCAGTCACCTTTTAGGTGGGTACGTGTATGTGCTGTGTGACTGGAGGGCCTTGTCTAACCAGAACAAACCCCATGTGCCTTTGTTTTTCAGGGTTTCCTAGTCTTGAACTACTGGCTACATGGCTTCAAATGCCTAAGTGAGTTCCTTCACAGCTGAGCTATGAAGCTGGGATTGGTTCTGGACGCTGGGTAGATGCAAAGCAGCCTCACTCTTCAAGCACCGACCTTGCTCTATTTGGAGGACACCTTCACCTCATGACTCCAAGTAGAACAGAAGCCCATGTCCTTCCCTCAGAGAAAACACCTAATGCTTCAAATGTAAATTGCGGTAGGAAAGGAGCCTATTGTCCCCTACAGAAGTAAATGGCCATCGGGAGAAGACTTGGCCTCCAGTTTACCTTGCTTTGCTCTTTGGCCTGATGTAGGAAAGTTTGGGTGCCAAACACCTACCCAGAATGTGGAGGGCTTTTCTGGTGAGAAGTCAGCATTCTCCTTTGGACTGTCCGCTACCGTGAATTCTGACTTGTATTGGGAGCGTGTTGGACACAGAAGATCTCCGGATTGTCTCAGTAATATTTTTGCATCACATTTCCTTTCTGTACTAGTTCTTTTAATTTAAGCCAGTTATATTATCTCTCCACAGGCAATAGAGTTGTTTTCTTTCTTGACGTGCTCTCTGTTCCCAGCTGTCTTCTGATACCTGGCAGAATGACACCTTTATCGTGTGCTTGCCGCCTAATTTAAGAGTGACCGCATGTAGATACAATGTACAGAACAGCTCCACCTCAAGGTCGCTGGGGTCGGCTCTTGTGCCCGAGACACTAATGCCAAGTGTGTTCGTTGGCGCTTAGCAGGACCGGGCTCAGGAGCTAACACCAGGCTAGTGTGGATTACCTAGGACCTTTCCTGCAGTATTCACACTGCGCTTTTATTTCGTCACTGTCATTGCGTGTGTGGTGTGTGTTTTTAATGGGAATCTTGTTTTGAAACGTAACTCCTCAAGTTAACACAGGTGTTTTCTTTGTTGTGCAGTGTACGCCATAGGCAGGCACCTTAGCAGGTTTTTTCTTTTCCTCTCAAGTACCAGTGGTCACTTCCCACAGTGTGTGCTTGGCTTTGGGTCAAAGCCACCCTTGTGTGTGGCAGTGACCATGGGAGTGAGAACAAGAAGCCTTGTTGACAGGACCCTGCCTGTCAGGGCGTGTGGGCAGTGGGTGGACTGGAGCCTGCAAGGCAGGTCAGCTGGTCCAGAGTCGCCCAGGTGTGCGAATGGCAGGGTCCATTGCACTGGTCATGCTCAGAAAGGACAGTGGTGCCAGTTGGCACCCTTTCCCTCTTGCAATATTAGTCTTGATCCCCCTCGCCTTGCGTCCAAAGATCAAGGAGGTGATACCACTTTTAAGGACCAACAGACCGCCCTGTGCTGGCAAGAAGCTTCCTCCTGCTCTGCTGCCCTTGGCTGGAGAGCAGAGTGGACATCATGGTTTCTGTGATTTGTGGATTGGGCTGGCTTTACTTTTTAGTTTCTCTTTTCCCTTTTTTATTTTTTGATATATTCTTCTCACGTGCTACTAAATTTTGTTTTTGAGAGGTTGAGTCTCAAACTGTAAGAAAATAAAGCTCCACTCAGCAGGCAGTGCTATATCAGCGGTGGCCGTGGACCTGGGTGACTGGGCCACTGCCTGGCACAGTGCTGCTGCCAGAAGCCAGGAAAGCCCCACGGGAGGGAGGCGAGTTCTGGACGATGGCTTTTTGTCATTTCTGCATGTTTATTAAGAAGGCCGTCTGGATCCTTGGGAACTCATGGCCTTTGAATATGCACATAACCTTTGACTTGTGCCTACTAAATTATAGCAGGGGACTTTGGGCACCCGAGGAGCTGACTTTCTGGGATTACGGCAGTGACTCCCAGCTGTCCTCTGGACTTTATTTTGCTAACCATAATTGAGCAACTGTAAATTACGGCTATATAATGTTTCAAAGCACTGGGATAGTCTAATTCTAACTTGTAATTAATTATGTTTGCAGTTATCTGTTTGAAATACATTTGTGTCTGAACAGCTATTGAAACTGTTAAATTGTACAGAAATTATTCATGACAGCTTTGTACTGTGGAATGTGCTCAAGTAAAGACAAGTTTGACCTTTGTCCAATAAATTGCTAAGTAATGTCAATAAATCGAGTATGAGTATTACCTCTGAATGGCTTCATGCAGTTGTTACCAGCTACGAATTCAAAGCCGATATGCTTAGTGAAGTGCTGCAGTAGTGGCCTGCTCTCTCAAGAAAGTCTTCAGAAAACTGTATGTGCCATTGAGGTTTATGGATTTGAAAAATCTGCTCTGTAAAATGACACTGAAGGCAGAGTGACCTGGTCGTGAGTGTCTTGAGGGACATGACTCCTAGTCTCCATGCACAGCCGCTTCACACGCACACACTTGCTTCACGCATTGCAGTGCAGATGCCCCACGGGGCTTCCAGGTGTGGAAGATGGGGGTGGTGAGGGGTGTGAGAAAGAGCGTTCCAGGTATCCCTGAACTTGGGAGTAAACTGGCCTAGTGCTGGCGCCTCTCTTCTCCCCAGGGCAGGGCTGGCTCAGGCGTCCCCATTCCTCAAACATTGTGAGTTGAATTCGAGGATTTTGATGCAATCACCCCCCAACCAAGTTTCTAATTAAAATGTTCTTGAAATCTGTTACGTGATTTACAAACTATGAAAAGTGATTTCTCCTCTCTCCCTCTATGTAGTGTCTTTACCAGTTTCTTGCCTGTCCTTTGACAGATTTACCCTGTGGTTAGGAGAGCACACCCATAGACACACACACTGGCCATTTTTCTTTTCAGTGCTGTGCATCGAACCGGGGCCTGTGTGTTGACTGCACGCTCTGTTCCTGAGTCACACCACCAGCAACCTTTTCAGTTTGGTAGTGTGCTCTGCCCCGGGGTTTTCATCTACCACTGTTTAGATCATTGTATGTGTACCTCACTCTTGTTAGTGGCTGCATAGTATTTGGTTATAAGAACATGCCACCATTGAGCCAGTTCAGTTGAGGGTGAACATTTGCTTTGTCTCTCACCTGTCCAGTATGGATTGTCCTTTTTCACAGGGCACTGTTGCAGGTGACTCAGGCTTGTCCTCATGAACACAGGGACGAACCTTAAGCACTGCAAGAGTAGATGGAGCTCAGTGCTAGATGGGATCTGCCCTCTCCCTTCCCATTTCCTCCCTCCCATAGCTGGTGCTCAGTAGATACCAGTCTCTTTTCTTCTTTGATAAGTGACGTATTTCTGCCTGAGGTGAATCAGAACCTGGACTGGTGGTTGCCACTTGAGCCTATTTGTTTTCTAGTGCATGAGAAGGTAGGAAGTCAGCCATCTGGCTGATGTCCTCTCACTCATTAGCTGCCTGGCAACCCCTCTTGAATCTTCGCTTCCCAGGTTTGGAGCTCAAGCCCTGGAGGGCGTGTGCCTGAGCTTCAGGTGATCTTGGAAGAACGCACACCCAGTGGTGCTAGCTCAAAATCTTCACGAAGAGCTGAGAACCGATTATGTAAAACCCAGCCTATAAAAATTGGTGACTTTTCTTTTTTTAATGAATGTGTGGCACCCGTGTGCACCTCTGAACAAGCGTGATCTTAGGCTCTTATTAGTGACATGTCAAAGCCTTGTGTCTTAAGTTTGAAGCACTGAAGAGGGAAAAGGGACAGTATACACTAAGTGCTCAATAGGCGTGTTTTTGAGTAGTGACCCAAAAAAACAGGAGGAAGAAGCAGCCAAGCACTGGCACCCAGCGGGTCCCCGTTACGTGGCGCGTGCTCATACGAGATGCTCCTGTGCCAGCTGCGTTCAGGCTGAAGCGAGGCGGGTTTTGGGCCTGAGATTGGGCCTCCTGGCTTCCGGCAGGATCCCGGGAGCTGGTCTCTGAAGAGCCCCGGGCCTGGGGGTCCTGCTCGCCCACTGCACAAACCTGGGTCTCAGCAAGAAGGAAGGAAGGACTGAGTAGATGGCCGTGGGCTTATCTGCCCACGGATGTGTCCCCATGTCTCAGTGCCTGCTGGTGGCCCAGGAGAAATCCTACACTGCCCCACTGCCTCCAAGTTCCCGTTATCCACTCACCCTGTCTCCAGGGCTTTGTTCGGTTCTGTTGCCCAGGGCGTGAGTTACTGCTGGCTGGCCTGGGAGAACTGGGTTTAGTGTGCAATGGGAGGGGAGCTGCCCAGCCTGGCGTTCTGGTGTGGTCTCGGGACAAAAGGAGTCCCTCTGCCCTTCACCACCATCCTCCGTCTTGCTGACTTGCGGGTGCTCACAGAGCACCGGTCTTGGGACCCTGCTGGAGACCATTCTCGGGATTGTTCCCCAAGCATTGGACGGAGCAAGGAGCTACACTTTGGGCCCAGAGGCCTGGCTCACTTCCACAGCTCAGCCGTGCGATTGACAGCAGCCAGGGCCTCTGTTGCTTTGAACCTGAGCTTTCTCCACTAGAAGCCAGTACTTTGTGATTACGGTAGAGATGAAATGTGTGCCAGGCCCGTGAGAGACTGTGGCTAGCACAGTGCCTGGTAGCTTCGAAGATGGCTTTTACACAGAATGCGTAGGGCAGAAATGGTAAAGGGCTTTGTGGAGTCTGGGATGGTGTGACCAGAGACCAGCAAATCGTGCCCAGGCAAGTCCCAGGCCCATGTGGGCCTCTTGCGGGAAGTCCAGGAGTGACTCTTAGGAAGAATGTCAGTGGTCACCAGCGAGGGCCAGCGAGGGTGTAACCGGACCGTTTTGGGTGGGTGGAGGAGAGGGAGATGGAGCAGGAATTTCCACTCAGTGGTTTGCATGGATTTTGTTGTCAAGAGCCACACAGCCTTAAAGGAAGAGGACCTGTGGCTTCTCCAGGGGGGTTCTGGGAAGAGAGACGTGCACAGTGCACATTGTATTGTCCCCAGAGTTGGCTACATCTTCGGGTGGTGGCTGTCTCTGATCCCCCGCACCCCTGCAGGTTATGAATTCTTACCATTCTGTGGTTGGAGAAACCGAGCCTCAGGGCTCTTGCCAGCGAGCAGCCGGGCCTCACTTTGCTTCTGGCCAGTCTTGGTGACCATGCTGACCTCTGCGGGCAGCCCTGGCAGCTCCGTCTCCACGCTTTGTGGCTCCTTGGCACTGGGATTCCAGCTGAGCCCCCTGGGAGCCAGGCTTTGGGCTGTGCCACCCCTTAACGCTGACGGACCTCTGCCCTCCCAGCCTCTTTCTCCTGTCCCGTGCCCTGGGGAAGGCAGGTGTTTCCGCGAGGAAGTGCGAAGGGCGTGCGGGGAGGGGGCCGGGGCCAGGCAGAGGAGTTGTGGTCAATCCTGGGGCAGTGGAGGCAGGAGGGAGATGCCAAGGTCAGAACAGGACAGAACGTGGAGGAGGTGAGGGTGCATTGAGAACCTCGGGGCCAGGACACGGGAGAACCACGCAAATGCCCTGGTGCAGACCGTCGAATTGCCAGACACGTGAAGACAGGGCGGTGGGCGTGCGGTGGGACAGGTGTGGGCCTCTGAGCCCAGACTCCGGTGATCGGAGCAACCATGCAAGGGACAGAGGAAAGGTGTTTGGGGCACAGGTGCAGAAATGCAGGGACACCGAGGTTGGCTTGGGTCGCAATGGCGGTGCCCTGGAGAACCGGAGGAATGCAGAGGCAACTGCACGAGGGAAAAGGGCCCGGGAGGGGAGGACAAGGCTGTGGCACAGGAGAGCAGGACCTGGAAGCTGGGGTACACCGTTGCCTGCAGGCTGCCTGGGACACCTAAATCCCCCTCTCCTTCCAGGACACCTGGGCTCGCTCTCTGCTGGCCAGGCCCTGGTGGCACCCACACAGGCTCCAGCGGCCCATCTGCGCCCCAGGGATGAGGAGATAAAAGGGACCTGGGGACCTTTCCACCAAAGGCGAAAGCATTTTATAGACGGGGCTGCGAGGGTTTGTCTCAGGAAATTTCATCATGTCTCCGAGAAGGGGACGTTAATTGGCCCGGGCTCCGTGCCCCTGTCGTGTGGGAGCACGAGGTGCCCAGGTCAGCCCCCGGTCAGCGGCACCGGGGTCTTTAGTGCCCTCTGCATACCTCGTTTCTGGAAGTTTTTCCTTTAAAAACAGCTCTGGCTCCTTTGACAGATGGTGACATTCCGCTAGCATATGGAATATTTTTCAAAACACATCCGAAAGCCCGTCTCGAACGGAGGGCCAGACAAAGCAGGCAAACGGTGGAGAAGTGCTTGGGGACACCTGCTCCTGGGGACACCCCCTTCCGTCTCTGTTCAGCGTCCCCCAGACGCCTGGTCCCCAGGTCCCCAGAGGGTGCTGAGCTCCAGTGAGTTTGCCCTTGGCCAATGTCGGGAGTCCTGTGGACATGGCCTCCAGGGAAGTGACAAATGCCTCACCTAACGGGTGACAACTGTGTGCAACATACATCACGTCTTCCCTGCTGGAGTCCACCTACTGTGCACACTGGCCACAGGTCGGATCACGTCACTGCCCAGCCAGCCAGCACTTCCCATCAGGCCACCGTGGTCCTTAGAATCTGGTACCAGGTCCTTGCTGTGGTCTGCCATCTTGGATCGTGCTTCCTTCTGCCCCCTCCCCGTTCTGCTACAGCACTGAGCAGGGTGGCCAGGGTCCTGGGCAGTGCTGTCAGAGGTGCCCTTCCTCCACGAGGGAGTGACGTCATCCAATGGAGAGACACCATGGTGAGTTTCGAACTCAATGATGACCTGAGGCCAGCTGTGTAAGGCGCCTCCTTTACTGGTTCGTTTCCACGGGGAGGGTGCTTTCCCATCAGCCCAGGTGTTAGCAACCACGGACTGGATGGCGGGACGTAGTCTAAGAGGCCGTGGGGTATTAGTCGCCCATGAAGAAGAGTGGATTTATATTGTTCGCAGGAAAATGGATGGAGCAAGAGAACACGGTGTTAAGCCATATAAGCGAGACTTAGACAAATGCCCCATGTCGCTCACACGTGCAATGCTCCATGGTCGGCTGGCTCCATTGCTTTTGGGACCATGCAGAAACATGGTGGAAGGGTGTTGCTGAGAAGAGCCTGGAAGCGGAGAGAAGTTGGCATGGTTTCCCGAGTGTTTTCCACCCGAGGTTGATTGAATCCATGATGTGAAACCCTGGGATATGGAGACGCGGCTGTAGGGCTTTTCTGATTTCCCAGAGTCCGGAGAGG